AATACACGGATTACAGAAGGTGTTTTATTTAACCCAACCCTTCCCCTGCCTCCTTGGGATTTTCCTGATTAACCTGAAAGCTCCAGAACTGGGGACAACTGGGTCCCCTTTCATTGCCCCCCATGGAGGCTGTGTTGGGTGGCCTCGGAAAACCCCAGCTGCCTTTATATATCTCGGTAGTGGTTCAATTGTCCTTCCAGAAAATAATCATTTCAGATCACTAATTTAACCTATCCACTTTCTCTTACAGATACAAAGAGAATGTGCAGGGAGAAAGCAGAGTTTTCTTTAATCCTGGAGCTGTGCATGATGGACAGAGAAGCCGACTGCTTTCTCTCTGCACACTCTCTGAAAAAGCCTTAGATCCTCCTCCCTGCAGTCCCTGCAGCCCCTCTCTTTACCCTCCCAAGACATTTAGTGCTCGTGCTTTATCCAGGTCACGTAGATACTATTCCCAGTAACCAAAATCTCCTGCCATTATTAACACAAGAGGAATAGGGGAGAAACCTATCCCCCATTCCTACTTCTGTCAGAGCAAGACAGCCACCCCAAACATCCCTTAATCTCCAGAATTTTCCCACTAGTAATAATGAATAGTTAAGATCAACCCTTTGGGTGCATATTCCTAACGTCATTTCCCAAGTGTAGCTGACTTAATTGAAACATTTTCTAAAGCCAAAAACTTGCACTTGAATTTGCTGATAATTTGCTGGAGACACATTGTGGTCTGCAGTACCACATCTGAGAGTAAATCACACGGTAAAATGATTAGCCATTGTGGAAGATGGGGGTGGTAGCTGCTTGTTATTAGGGATTCTATAAATTTGAGATATCTCTCTCATATGTGCAATACATATATAATGTATTATATATGACACTTGCAGTAAACTACAAATTAAACAATATATAATACATATATTCATGTATATGTATAATATACATATACATTATATATAGCTAAATATGTAGATACACAGATATGTAGATAGATATGTACCACTATCTCTACCTGTCGTTTGTTTTTCTCACTGGTGATCACTGTTGTTCAGGCTGGAGTGCAGTGCTGCTATCTCACTCACTTCAAATTTTGCCTCCCAGGTTCAAGCTATTCGCATGCCTCAGCCTCCTAAGTAGCTGGGAGTACAGGCATACGTCACCATACTCTGCTAATTTTTGTATTTTTAGTAGAGAGGGGGTTTCACCTTGTTGGCTAGGCTGGTCTCGAACTTCTTACCTCAAGTGATCCATCTGCCTAGGGCACCCAAAGTGCTGGGATTACAGGTGTGAGCCACCACACCAGGCTTATAATACATTCCTGGACGAGGTGTGATGGAGCAAGGACAGGCGAAAAGGCTTCTAGGTAGGGTTCTGAAGGGATCCTGCAAGGACCAAGAGGGATGCTTGGAGGAGGAGAGGATCAGGACACACTCCAGAAATTGACCTTCAGGAACAGCTTGAGGTGGCCAGGCACAGTGATGGAGCTGGATCCAGTGAGGTGGGATTGAGATTCTGCTGGGCAGGAAACAAAGAGGACTGCCCAGAGGCACTTCTTTCAAGGTTGCAGCTACAGAGCTCACAGTAGCCCTGGCACTAAGGTTCTTTTAAGAATGCTAGATGTTACTTCATGAACAGTCGTATCAAGGTATACTATTTTTGGAAAGGCATTTTCTTCCCTCTGCACTCTCCTTAGATAAGAAACAAAGAGCAATAATAATGAAAGCATGCCCTATTGACACTATTTGTATGGAATGGAACTTGAACTTTTATAAGGTAAAGATCAGTCAACACAGCTTTCCTAGCATCCTGATTCTAGAGCTCTCCTTTTGATTTCATAAGGTATTCAATAAAAATCCCTTGAGTTTTTGCTCTGTCCTGGTTCTGCTTCTGTCTCCACTTATTACTGGGGCCTTCCCACTTTTTGATCCTCTTGTGTCAGCCTTGTTTAATACGTAGTTTACTCCCAGTATATTCTTCTCAGTATGGAGTTTGATCCTGGAAGAGAATTTGGGCTGGTTATTTTAAGAGCTATGGAAACCATATGGTCCCTGCCTCTTTTTATCTTATCCTGGACTCTTGCTTATTGATGTGTGCAAACTCCCACCCTGCTCAGTTTCTGCAGCTCTGTTTTAATTACCTTGCACACCTTCTAGTGAATCCTTGTTGCTGACTTGGGGAGTTCTCAAATCTACATACGTTCTGTTCACCCTCTCTGCGTCATCCTGAAAGGATTCTGATTCCTCATGGATATCGCTGCTGCACCTGATTTGTCTGTGACTTTTTATATTTGGGATTTTTTAGGGTACATTGTCACTCAGTGTTGTTGTAGATACTGTTCATGAATTTTGATTTTGTTATTCTAGTTTTTCACTGTTTTTCTTAGAGGTTTGGAAATGGTCTGAAAGCATACTGCACCTCTCTATCTTTTCAGAATTTTAAGGTGAAAATTTATATATATACAAAAGAGTAGGTGTTGAATAAATTTAAAAACACTGTGTTTAAAATCACAAGCAAGGCCCCAACTGCATTTGTACATCTCACCATCTAGCCTGAGCTACAGGCCTTACTGCCACTTAGTGACAAATGTGACTTACAGTATCTTCTGAATTGGAAGTGAAAAGAATCAGATCTTTAAAGTTATTTTTGCGAACTTGATGTTAAGAAGCGAAACAAGGGACATAATATGCAAACATTTTCTAAATAAATTGTACCCATCGGCCATCTAGAATTCATGTAAAAGTGGTAAAAATGCCTAAATCCCCAGAATCTGTAAGAAAATGAAAGTGTGATGGTAAATTTTATGTGTCAGCTTGAATTGGTCTCTGTAAAGTAGGTTTCCCTCCCCAGTAGCTCCTGAATAGAACAAAGAGCTGATGAGAGAGGAGTTTGACCCTTTTGTTCCTGCCTCACTGCTTAAGCTAGCACATCTCATCTTATCTTCTCCTACCATGGAACTGAGGTTTACACCATTGGTTTCCCTGGTCCCCAGGCCTTTAGACTCAGATTGAATTACACCTCTGTCTTTCCTAAGTGACCAGCTTGTAGATTACAGATCATAGTATTTTTTGCCTCCACAATTTTGTGAACCAATTCTTCATAATAAAATAAGGTTTTCTGGGTGGGAGGATCACTTGAGGTCAGGAGTTCGAGACCAGCCTGGACAACATGGTGAAGCCCTGTCTTTACTAAAAATACAAAAATTAATCGGGTGTGGTGGCGGGTGCCTGTAATTCCAGCTACTTAGGAGGCTGAGGCAGAAGAATCACTTGAATCTGGGAGGCGGATGTTGCAGTGAGCCCAGATCGCACCACTGCCCTGCAGCCTGGGCGGCGAGCCACCATATCTGTCTCTCTCTGTCTCGTCTCTGTATTATTCTATCTCTCTTGTTACTCTATTTTTCTGTGTTGGTGCTACTGTTTCTCTGGAGGATGATGACTAATACAGTAAGAAAAATTACATAAATATATGATAAAATAAATTTGTCATAAATTGATATACATTATAAAGTTAACAAAATAATAACAGTAAATAGCAATTTTCTTATTTTTATTATAATTTATTTCAAATGTACACATCGGTGTAATTTTCATGATTTTAAATTCTGTAACCATTAGGCTGAAAGTCAGAAGCAAGCCAAGAACATATTATTATCATTGCTTAACATTCTCCTGGATATTTTAATTCAATACATTCAGAAATTAGAGGTATAAAATGGTAAATATTTTCATTATTCTCTGAAACTTATTTACCTAGAAAAGACTTATAAATAAAAATTTACTAAGCTATCTAGGGACAAAATAAACACTCGATAGTCAATGGTTTTCATATAAAAAGTATACGACTACTGTGATGCTAATATTCACGAGAACAAAATATGAAAATAGCCAGAAATGTTTAAGAGAATAAAGGTATACTGAGAAGGCACTAACCTTAGGTTGGTTTTCAAACATATTAGTAAATGAAAAAAAATTTAAACGTTTTATTGTTGCATGAATTCATAGAGCAGATAGTGAAACAGAATAGTGTATTCATCTCTATGTGTCTTTCTGTGCATCTTTCCATCAATCCTGAGTGCTGCAGGGGAGATTCACTTGCACCTGAAGCAGCAGGAAATATTTGGAGCTTCAAGAAAAAATGCAGAGAGCACTTAGAGAAGCTGCACCCAGTGTCATCAGGGATTCTGTGGAGGAGCCCATTCAGATGAAATAGGTAAGTTTTTATTTTGTGTTTTCATATTTCTTTTGGAAATGAAAAAGAAAAGTCTCAATGAAAACTAAGAGTCAGACATACATATAGAAATATTGCTGCCTACTCCCGGGCATGGGAATGGCCAACTCCTTCCTTCAGGGAGTGGAGGAGAGAGATATCAAGAGTACAACAATTTTCTTAAGACACTTACCCCACCTTTCATCAAATATCCCCAACCCTAGATTAAGTGCAGGAGTCCAGAAAAACATTTCCACAGGGAAGGTCAGGGTCCCAGGCTCATGGGTGCCTTCTTACTACCTTTAGCAGGACAAAAATGAGTAAAGCAAAGCTTCTTGCTTCAGAAATATTCATTCTAATACGATGTGTACCCTACACATAACCATTGCTTCATTCCAGAAACTTTAATTGCATAAAATTCACTGGGAAAGGGATATTTGTCTGTTTTTAAGGATAAGGGTAGTATTGGCTCAAACTTATATTTATTCTCCCCAAAGAGTCCCTCCCAGGTTTGTAATCCTGGTGTAAGAGAGTGCTGCCCCAAGTTGCTTCTTTCCAACCTGTCCTACTTTGTACAGGGGAGGAGAGTGGGGAAGGGAGAAAAGAAAAAAAAAAAAAAAAAAAGAAAAAAAAAAAAGGGGAAAAGGAGGAGCCCTTTTTTTTTAAAAGGGGGGTGAGAAGGGGGTTTTTTTGAAAAAAAATTCTGCCTGACCCTGGAGTCTGAGTCAGGTGGAGTCTGAGTCAGGTGGAGTCCCAGTTAGAAGTCCTCTGAGGAAGCTGCACTAGAGCCACTGCCCTCAGACATCAACTTCCATTTCTTCTCCACTGCTGCAGTCTGAAGAGTTACTGCTTTCTTCCTCTTCTCCATCTTTCTTCCTTTTCTCTTCTGGTTCCAAGGAGACATGACAGTTTACCCAAGTAGTCTGTGATGAATCTGTTCCTGCAGCCTGGAGCCCCTGCCCCTCCCCAAACCCTTCTTGCAGATCCTTTGCTGATGAGGACTGAGGATCTGTTTGTCTCAACCTGGGCTCCGGGCCTCCTGTCATGGCCATATTCTTACCCTTAGCATAGGTCGATTCTTTGTATGCAGCATAATTTTCAGGTGACAAAGTCTTAAGCCAGAGATCCAATTTCACCTTGTATTGCTTCTGCAGCTCCTCAGCCTGGCTCTTGTAATGATCCTTCTGGCTCTGCGGGACGCGCTGCCAGCGTCTGCCAATCTCTACCATGCGCTCCCTCAGGGACAAATGTTGCAGCTCCTTACTTGACCAGGAATCTTGGTGAAATTTGTGGTATCCATTCATGGGGGGTTTCTGAGGTTCTCCATGAAATTTTACCTTCTTGAGAAATTGATCCGTTTTTGGAAGAGACCTCACTTCTTCCATATTTTTCTGAACCTTCTTTTGCACTTTGGTTTGAATCCTCTTGGAGACATCAGATTTCTTGGCCTTCTGGACTAAATCAGGGTGTTCTTCCCTAAATCGAGCAAGTTTTTCCTCAAATTCTTGCTTTTCCTTCTGGAAATCCTGAATATATTTCTGTTTCATCTGCTCTGGGAGTTCCTTGTACTTCTTTGACAGGATTTTGGTCAGTTCCTGGCTTCTCATCCCAGGGTACATTTGGGAGTACTGGGGCCAATTCTCCTTGAAGAAGCGGATATAAGCAGTAAGGGGCCTCTTTGGAAAGTCTGGATGGTTCCTGCCTTTTCGACTTTCGTTTGTATTTTTAACACATTTCTTAGCTTCCAGGACTAATTCTTTCAAAGTGCCAAATTTTCTCAAGCTGCAAGAAATCTCTAACCATTTGAGTCTGCACATTTCGCCAGAAAAGTTTTTAAAAGCTACTTTTCCCCAGTCCATGTGTGACTGAATTGAGCTGAACGTGCCGTTGCCATCAGGTGGGAGATTATTCTCCATGCGTTCCAGTAACCTCAAGATGTCTTCGTTCGACCAATGGCCTTGGCTTCTAGGCAAAGCCATTTTGATGTCTTTGGCTTACTTCTAAGATCACGGTTATGTAGACACCAGAGCAAGAACACAGAGTTGTTTACTTTTAAGAGTCAGTGGATTATTTCTTTCTGGAAGTCCTGCAGTATGTGTGATTTTGTATTTCTGAGGAGAAAGAAAGGAAAGTTACTCTGCTTCATTGGGATTAATGAAAGAAATTACACCACCCTATTTGCCATATGTCCCTTGTGTAATTAATTTACTCCTAACAATATAAATAAAACTTTGCCCATTTCTGAATTAAAGTCCGTATTTGCCTTTCGTATGCTACATGCACAATATTCAATATCTCCACACCCTACCCCAGCCTGCTTTCTGCCAGATCTCAGGTGAACCACTCTTAAATTGAGTTGCATGAGACAAACACCAGACCACTCACTTAAGAAGCTTAATATAACAGAAATGCCCTGAAGACAGATCAAAAGTTAAAGTGGAAGGAGAAATGCCTAAACGGGAAAGACTGTTCATTCTACAGTGCCCTGAGTATGGCCATTTTCTAAGCACAGCCCAAATATCCATAGCTAAAGGTACAGACGAGAAGTTGAAGATACAATAGGACAAGCCCAAGAGCTCCTCCAGACATGCGTCCAACTGTTACCATTTTATGAGGGAATGTGAACCTGTGATGAGACTGAATTATAGATTCTTCAGGATCCATGCATGGGAATGCATGGTTTCTTGTGAACCATACTGCTTCTCCTTTTAAATATCAAGGATTTAATGAAAATTATAAAACATTTCAATTTTATTTTGTTAACTGTTCATCATCTTTAAGCCTCAGTGAAAATCTGGCTTCCTTCAGAAAGTGCCTCCAAAATACCTGGCATTTTCCATTATAGAGCTTGAAAACATGGCAGAGTTGATGACTACTGCTTTTTTATTTTTCAACCTAAAAAGTAAATTCCTCTGGGACATGTAATTCCTCTGGGACATGATTTCCCAACAAATTCTCCAAATTCTCATATCTCTTTCACTAGTCTTTTTAGGATAATCTTCTATTCTAAGACTAAGCCTCACTTAAATAAAATTGTGTACAAATACATACAACATGAAATTAAACCAGATCTTAAATAGAGGGTGCATAAAGAGTGGAACATGGGACCTTCGGGGGAAAATATGCATTAGAAGGGAAAGAGAACAGAGTTAAGATGTCAGTGGAGATTGAAATTCTGAGAATGAGTTTCTGTATATGTGAGAATATTTTTGAGAACTATTTTTAATTCTCAGTAGTGTATAGAAGGATGTAGCCTTTGAATGACATTAATAATTCACTAGAAGTATGAAGAATGTTAGTTATAATGTCACATGCCTCAAAACACAAATGCCTCAATACATAGATTAAAATGTTTTAAAATATTGGATAGTAATTCAAGTCCATAGTTGAGGTAGAAGATAAAATAAATAATAACTCATATATCAAATTTATTATGTGAAAAAGACTTTTGGAAAATTGTTCCATAATAAATGAAAATATAAATAAAAATTAAAATTTACAAAAAAAAATTAAACTGTGAAAAACTTAAGAGGGTAAACTTGAAAGTTATTGAATTTTTAATCTCAAAAATCAGGAAAAAAAGTCATTTCATCAATCTCCTAAAAAAAAAAAATCTTAATAATGTAACAGGAGAGTAATTAAGAGAAAAGTAACATTTACAAAGGAAAGTAAAAAAAAACTTGAAAAATATTCGATTTCATACTTTGTGTTTAACATCAAAACATACTCTGAATTGGTTCAGGGATTAAAAGATGTCAAATTTCCACACATATTGTAAGTCATGAGTATAAAAAATCAATAGATAAATATAAGATGTATTCTAACTCAGAAAAAGGGTAAGTCACATAGAATTGACATTAGAAAAGAGATGTGGAATATTCAGAATCTGAATTTAGGAAAAGAAGTGCTGTCTTCCCAATTGTAAAGGTTAGGATGATGCATCTACAGCAGTGAAAATAAAAATACAGTTGTGTTTTTGTTGTATTGTGGCTCTTTTATGAGCCAGGCATTTTTTTTTAAAGTGCAAGTTAAAGAGTGGCCCCCCAAAATATATGTCTAAGTCCTAACCCCTGAAACCTGTGAATATGACCTTTGGAAAATAGGATCTTTGCAGATGTAATTACCTCGATAATCTCCCAATGAGATTAGTCTGGATTTAGGATTTAGGGTGGGGCCTAAGTCCAATGACTGGTATCACTATAGAAGAAATAAAAGGAATGTCTTAGACACCTAGACAGCCATGTGGAGACAGAGGCAGAGACAGAGCTCAGGGGAACTAGGCTGCCACAAGCCAATGAAAGCTAAAGGTTCCCATCAGCCACCAGAAGCTAGCAGACAGGGAGGGGCTGGGTTTCCCCTCAGAATCTCCAGTGGGAACCAACTCTGTCAACATGTTGATTTTAAATTTTAGGCTTTCAGAATGTGAAAGAGCAAATTATTGTTTTATCTGTGATAGTTTATTACAGCTGTAGGGAAAAGAAAGGGAGATCAGACTATTACTGTGTCTATGTAGAAAAGAAAGACATAAGAAATTCCATTTTGATCTGTACCTTAAACAATTGCTTTGCTGAGATGCTGTTAATTTGTAACTTTGCCCCAGCCACTTTGCCCCAACCTTGTGCTCACAGAAACATGTGTTGCATGGAATCAAGGTTGAAGGGATGTAGGGCTGTGCAGGACATGCCTTGTTAACAAAATGTTTAGGAGCAGTATGCTTGGTAAAAGTTATCACCATTCTCTAGTCCTCACCAGGGCACAATGCACTGCGAAAAGCTGCAGGGACCTCTGCCTTGGAAAGCCGGGTATTGTCCAAGGTTTCTCCCCATGTGGTAGTCTGAAATATGGCCTCGTGGGATCAGAAAGACCTGACCGTGCCCCAGCCCGACACCCATAAAGGGTCTGTGCTAAAGTGAATTAGTGAAAGAGGAAAGCCTCTTGCAGTTGAGATGGAGGAAGGCCACTGTCTCCTGCCTGCCCCTGGGAATGGAGCACCTTGGTATAAAACCCTATTGTACATTTGTTCAGTTCTGAGATAGGAGAATAACTGCCCTATGGCGGGAGGCGTGACATGTTGGCAGCAATGTTGCTTTGTTATTCTTTACTCACTGAGATGTTTGGGTGGAGAGAAACATACATCTGGCCTACGTGTACATCCAGGCATGGTACCTCCCCTTGAACTTAATTGTGACACAGATTCCTTGGCTCAGATGTTTTCTTCCTGACCTTCTCCCTATTATCACCCTGCTCTCCTACCGCGTTCCTCTTGCTGAGATAATGAAAATAATAATCAGTAAAACCTGAGGGAACTCAGAGACCCGTGCCAGTGCAGGTCGCTGATATGCTGAGTGCCGGTCTCCTGGGCCCACTGTTGTTTCTCTATACTTTGTCTCTGTGTCTTATTTCTTTTCTCAGTCTCTCATCGCACCTGACAAGATAGACTCACAGGTGTGGAGGGGCAGGCCACCCCTACAACAGCAGTTCCGGGAAACTAATATGCAAATGTTTTACACGTATTATTAATATCTTATTTTTCTCCTTAAAGCTCTATGAGGTCATTTTATGCTTGCTGTTCCATTACTTCCATGATGAAACTGCGACCAGGCGTGGAGGCTCATTCCTGTAATCCCAGCACTTTAGGAGCCTAAGCTGGGAGGATCACTTGAACTCAGGAGTTCAAGATAAGCCTGGGCAACAAGTGAGAAACCCCCATCTCTTAAAAAAAAGACAGAAAGAAAGAAACTGGGAAAACTAAGAATTTATATAGGGCCAGGCACAGTGGCTCACGCCTGTAATTTCAACACTTTGGGCGGCTGAAGCAGGAAAATTGCTTGAGCTCAGGAGTTTAAGACCAGCCTGGGCAACATAGGGAGACCCCATCTCTAGAAAAACAAAAATTTAACCAGGCCCACACTTGTAGTGCCCGTAGTCCCAGCTACTCTGGAGGCTGAGGTGAGAGGATGGCTTGAGCACAGGAAGTCAAGACTTCAGTGAGCCTTGATTGCATCAGGGCACTTCAGACTAGGCAACAGTGAGATCCTGTATCAAAAAAATTAACCGTGTCGATTGTATGTGATTGTCCCCTTTTCTGTGCTAGAATACATCTTTTATTTGTTTACTTTTTACTTTTTGTCATCATCACTTGCGAAATACTTAGAAGTTTAAGACATCCTTTTATCCTTGAACCATTTGAGGGTAAGTTTTGATCTTAAACATAATATATGGACTCCTGTGACTTTGTGAAGTTGTATGAATTCTTAATTTTTAAAAATTTTTGTGACATAAAAAATAAAAAATGAAAAAATAAAAATTTATAACCTTCACAAAGTCATACATGTAATATTCCATAAAATAGAATATCAGACTATATATATTCATTATATATATCAAAAAATAACAAGAGGCTTTGAAAAGAACATTCAAACAAGAAAATAGATTTTGTAAATTAAAAATACTATTACATAAATAAAAACTTCAATGGAATATTAGGAAAATAAAAAAGTGCCTTTGAGCACTTTGAAAACTTTGCAGATGACCAACGCTGCATGCACCCTGAAGTTACAGACAACATAGAACTTTTCATATTTTGCAATAAAGGTTTCCAATTAAATTCTAGATATCGTGCTATAGATAAAACTGTATAATATCTAGGACTGTCCCTCCAGAAGTTCACAATTTGTATAAACAAAGAACCAAAATTAAAGGAGATACTCACCTGAATATTCTATAACTGGTCTGAACAGTGCTTGCAGGAAAATTCATGCGTTTGACTCAGGAGTTCCCTGTCCTCTGGGCTTTCTGGATAACAGATGCTATTCTTTGAGATTTCCACAGTCTAGCAAATTCCAAATGCCTCTATAAATAATAAGCCTTGCTTTTTGGAGGCCAATGTATTATAGGATCCTTAAATCCCTTCCCTGATTAGGTTTCTGCGGCACAGAGTATCAATGAAAGGATTTACCTTTCCACCACTGATTAAATCAACTCAATGTCTAATCTCTGTAAATAATCCTCTAC